TGGGGGGGCCCTCGGAAGTGCAGCCCTGGGGCACCAGCCAGCCCTGCTGCCTCCTCTGCATCGGCCTCCTCCGCACCTAGGGCTGGACAAACACAGCCATCAGCACCCCAGCCTGCCTCAATGTCCTCTCATCTACATCTTTTCTTACTACTATGATGCCTTTAGATGTTCAAGTCGCACCTCTCCCCAGCAGTCCCAGCCCAAGCATTTTCTCACAGAGTTCCTGCTATCCAAAAAAGAAAATAGACAGGAAATGGGAGACACCATCCCCACCCCATCTTTCCCTTTTTCTTCTTCTGGAAAAAAAACCTCTGCTCCTGGAGAATCAAAATTAAATGAGGAGATTCATTTTCCTCACTTGAAGTTTGAGATTATTTTTAGCTAATGAAGGTCATTACTCTTGCTCGTTTTGGAGATGACAAATAGAAAGTGAGGCCGGCTGTGCAATTTATTTTAAGAAGCATGAAAACCTGGGCCTTAAAATGACGGGAAATCAGTTGGCTTTCTTTTTGGTGTTGGTTAGAATATCAAACTCTGGGTTAAGCTTTAGCAGTTGCTAAACTTGGTTATAAAGCTGAGTTGCTCTGCTAAACTCTGGACTGGTTACACTGGCAGAAATCCAGAATAACATCACTGACTAATGGAAAAGTTGCCATGGTTGATCAAAGAAAAATCTGGCTACTTTTTTTTTCCCACAGGATGTTAAACTTCATCAAATAGTGCAAGAAAAGTGTCAAAATAGTATTAATTTCTAAACCAGGAGCTTTAGGTTTTCAAATGTGTTCAGGGAATTTAAGCATTCATCTGCCATTAATCTTTGGCAAAAGCCATTACTGGAGGATGAACTTGGATCCACACACTGCACGTAGCCCTACCCTGGCCACATTCAGAGATGGCTCAAGTTGGGCTCCCAAAATCCCAGGATCTGTAAAAATCCCTGTTCCAAAATCACTTTTTAAATCAGTGGGAAGTGCTTAATGGCACACAAGTTTTGTGAATAACTCACCCACGCAGGCCCATCTGCTGTCCCCAAGCCTGTAACCCTCCTTACAGGCACACTCGTAGGACCCCAGGGAATTCACACAGAAATGGTCACAGTTGCCATTAACCAGACGACATTCATCCACATCTAGAAAATCCAGACATAAATGGTGATTAGGAACAAGTACTTCTGCTTGCAGAGCCCATGCTGTGCCCAGCTGCATCTGACAAATTATTCTATACATAAGAAAACACAATTTTTCTTATGTGTTTTGGAGCTCTCCGTTTCTCTCTGGTATTGGAGGTATGAAAACATTTCAGGACTACAAGGAGCAGATTATTTCACTGATGTTTTTGTCTCGAGTGAAAACAGATGCTTTAAGCTGTTAAGCTCAGTTGTTCTTCAGTTATTTTGAGGGATCTTTTTTTTTGTGAAAGGAGTGTTTTAACACACATCAGTATACAGTGTCCATGGAGAGAGGAGGGAAAGTTTCTCTGCTGGCTCCTCTCCCACATCCCCAAATTTGATGCTGGGTTATTCCTGTATTCCAGCTTCACAAAGAGGAAATTACACATTTGTAAAAACCTTCCCAGCAAAGCTGGCATAGGGTCAGTGACTCTCATTAGGGCAGTGCCCACAAAGCCCTGCAAAGGGCTTCGACAGCATTTCTTCTACCCTGGGCTGGGATTAGTTAGACCAAGCCACTGGTACCAAAAGGCTTTTGACAAGGGCATGGAATGATGCAGGACAAGTGGGAATGGCTTTAGACTAACAAAGGGAAGGTTTAAACTGGATATTAGGAGGGAATTCTTCCCTGTGAGGGTGGTGAGGCCTTGGTTGCCCAGAGAAGCTGTGGCTGCTCCATCCCTGGATGTGTTCCAGGTCAGGTTGGAGCAGCCTGGTGTTGCCACATTTCTCTCCACAGAGAAAAGCAAGGTACAATCCTTCCCAAAAATATTTCTGGGTTTCACATTCTCTGAACCTCAGAGAAAGAGCAAAGGAATTCTTATCTTATTTGCTGTGCCNCTCGCCGTTGCAGCGGCCCCCGTGCAGGCAATCCTCACACCTCAGGCTGCAGTCCTGGCCAAACGTGTCACCCAGGCACACTGCCAGCAAAAAACACACAGGGCTGAGTGAGCAGCTGGGCAAAAACCTTTCCACACGCTCTTACCTACGGCTGGGTTGTGAACGCCGCCGGTGTTCAAAAGGCACGGCAAAGTGGGCATTCCTGAATTTCCCTCTCCATGTTTCTGACTCTAAGTACAAGGAAAGCTGGGTGTTCAGCTGGAATTTGCTCCCCTAAATGCTGTAATTCTTCAGCCAAGAGCTACTTTTTAAAAGCAAGAGTTTTGCCTTCAGAAAAAGTGAATTTGCACCTAATGCTTGATAACATTGTATATAACTAGAAGAATTTACTGGAACTTTCCTTCTCCCCTTGCTAGCCTATCCCTGTTGTTTGATTGCAGTAAATGGATATAGTGCTATTTAACAGTTCAGTGGTATTTTCAACCATTCAGTGTGAGTGTTCTAGGAAAACAAAGCAAAATACACATTTATCATGTCTCTTCTCTTCATGGATATGAAGAGTTTTATACAGGAAACCTGACATGAAAATACATTTTTTTCTCTCCTTCCCCACCCTCCTTTTATCCCTTGCCACCCTCACATTCTCTTTGTTGGGTATATTGAGACGGGCATGCAAAATAAAGAGTCTGTCTGGTGAAATACTTCAGTGGCATTGAAGATCTCATCCACACAGTTTAGAGCCTTCAAGGCTTAATGGCTGTGCCTGGAGGCTTTTTGGAAGGGGATTTTTAACAGCACCTGAAAGTGAGATGGCAGCTTATTCAGCCTTATTTCAGTAAGTTACAGGCTGGTTGCATTTCACCAACAGTTTTCTGTGAGAGGCCAGATTTCCTCTAGGTCTGAGCACCCAACTGTTCCCTTTTCTGTAGCTGAACAAACGCCCAAGCTTTCAGGGACATTTAGAATCCCAGTGCTACCCCTTAGAAAAGGGTACAAATTCATACTTTAGGAGAAGAATTCAGACCACCATTAAAAACATCATGCTTCCATCATAAAAAGTCATTAAAGTTAGAGAAAATATTTAATTATTTGCACCAGCTAACTGTTAAAGCAGGCTTTTTTATAATACAGATAGCAGCACAATCCAGGTCTGAAAACACAAGGAATAAATTGCTATTTAGAAGGTAAAAGAACTTACTAAACCATTTAAAGTTCCTTTTTTCATCACTTTTGCATACAAATCACTACATGCTGCAAAGCCTGAGCCTTAGAAAAAGTGCAGCTGCTCAGCTGTGACTGATAATACCCAAATTTCTGTAGCTAAATATAAATAAAACATGCAAAAAGTGGTCAATAAATATTTGATTGTGGTTTCTAGGCCTGATAATTTTGCCTGTGGTTATCTCATTTATCAGTTTCCCAGTTGGTTATCAGTGTTGTTGAGTCCGGCTGGATGCTGTGTGATTTGGGAGGGTCTGAACAGTTTTGTTCACAAAAATAAGGTAATTTTTTTATTAAAGTCAAGACCAGCTCCTGATTTTTGCCTGTAGGGCACAGTCCTCAGATGGGTAATTATAGAGTTTATATAAAAATCACAGGGCACACATAGGAAAAAGCAAGAAATCCTCCCTGGTGATCCACCAGCACTCAGCACAAAGCAGACACAGGGTTTCACCTCATAATAGTCCTAAAATTGTGAAGTTTCCACCTTTGGGTGGAAAGATCGAATCATGCAAAGCCCAGGTGGGTGCAAAGCTGTTGTGCACCTACTCCTGTGACAGTGGGTGCTCCTGTGCTGTTTGCCACCACTTGAGCTGAGCAACACGTGGATGGGTTGGTGCTTTTCCCAGAGAGTCAAGGGAAATCTGATTTTAACACAGACAAAATGCAAATATCTTAAACAAAAAGCCTCCAGTTGTTGTAAAATGGTTTGTAAACAGGGACCCATGCTCCCAGCTCCAGGAGGAAGGGAGTTTCCCCAGGTTACAAGCCATGCCATCCTCTCAGCCCTGGCATGACGAGCTCTCTGTGGCTGCTGCCTGGGCTCTGGGCAGACACCCTGCTTTCCAAGGAGCCTGTGCTGCTCACTCTTCCCCTGCCTCCCTCCCAAAACACCCAGGCACCTCCTGGCTCCTCAAACATGTCCCATTTGGGATGGAACATGGCGACAGGCAGGATGCAGAATGCAGGATTAACGCTCCTGATGCTGAGCCCCGCCAGCCCAGCCCCAAATCCTCTCCCAGGACGAACCCCCCAGGTTGCAGTGCTGGCTCAGGGCCCTGCTGGTCACTCACC